TCCACACATAGTAGGTGCTCTTTAAATGCTACTCAAAAGACAAATTAATGAGTAGAGCATCCCAGGATTACTATCTCACTCTCAGGGATCAGATCAAATTTTGAAAAGGAAGAGATTAAAAAGGAGGAAATGCGATTTCCCACATAAATCTGTTCCAAAGCCTCTGTATTTCCATGTCAAGATGTCACACGTGAGACCCAGGACGTACCTGGGCACACTTCTCTAGCTCTGAACTAGCACACAATCAAATTCTGCTCAGGTGACACTGCGTTCCAACATCAATGTTTCCAGTCTCAACTGGGGGAGCCTACTGTAGGGTAAGACAGTATCTCTGGTAGAAAAGCCCAAGAACCTTTCAAAACAGAGGGATCAGGAATTCTGAAGAGACAGAGCCAGCCCTCAAGTACACACGAACTTCAGATGTGGGAGCGAAAGAGGGGCTGGGTTGATGGCGGGGCCGTGGAGACCATGAGAAGGAAGCTGCTGTCCCCTGGGTCCTCTGCAGAGAGGACACTGGGAGGACCAGGGCCGGTCCTCCTGCACTGAGCCCTGGCTTTGCTCAGTAACCGTTTTGCTTGGCGTTTACCCTGCACATCCCCATGGGCAGAAATTTACTTAAATATATGTTCAGTACTTTGCTTATTATTGCCACCCAAGTAAATATTGAATAATAATGGAAATTTTGCCTACGTAAGTCCCACCCATTAGCTAACACAGGGGGAATATAGGGGCCACAGAGAAGGGGCCTTCAGAGCGGCCCCTCTGGGGATTCACCCACATATTCACTGGTTGTTCAGGATTACACAGTGCCTGCATGCGAAGTCAGTTCAGTCACATCTGACTCTTTGCAACCCGATGGACTATAGCCCACCAGGCTCCTCTGTCCATGGGATTCTTCAGGCAAGGATACTGGAGTGGGTTGCCACAGCCTTCTCCAGGGGATCTTCCCCACCCAGGGATCGAACCCGCAGCTCTTGCGCCTCCTGCATTGGCAAGTTTTTTGACCGCTAGCGCCACCTGGGAAGCCCCCAGATCACACAGTAAACCAGAAGGCGGACACGACATGGCTTCCACACTCACTCGCGTTGGTCGGCCCCGAGAAATAACGTGAGAATCCAGGTAAAAGGCTGGAGTAAGGAGGCTGATTCTCAGAGTTCAGGGGGAGCAGGACCCATCAGTTACGAGGAGAGAAGACCAGGAACGCCCTGCTGGGGGGAGAGTTCCATGATGGGTTTGTCAAGACCACTTTCTCAGAGAAAGACCACTCAGGATGCTGCTTCCGATGATTTTATTGTGTGTTCTAAGTTCTTCTGTGAAGACGATTCTGAATAGAAATTAACTTCCCAGGGAAACGCAGCAGCGTTGGTAATCATTTCTTTTCCCTTCATTTACAGTCCGTCCTTTCTCTGACCTTCGGCAGGAGTTAGCAGGAGCGCCCGCAGACAGAAGCATGTTCTGAAAGCTGGCGCGTCCTTTGCTGTTCACTTGAAAGACTTGAGCTGAATTCTCCTGGGCTGGACGCGCCTTCCCGCCCGTGCGCCACCAAAACCACCGTTTCTGCCCTCAGTGTGGCTCTTTCCTCCCTCGGAAGGTCTCCCTGGCAATGTTAGCACACACGTGAACCCTAATTCTCACATGTTGGTCAAGACCGCGCTTGTTGATTAGATTCCACGGTGGCCTGGGCGAGTGGGCAAAACCAGCTTTTGTCTCATTAACAGCTTCACACTTGGAGTCAGGCTTCCTGCGAGTCACAGCTGCCGGGGAGGCTGATCTGGGAGAACCAGAAAGAGCCCCTGTCCAAAGCCATCTGCACCAACCGGGAGCTACAGGGCTAGAAATTTTGCCTTTTTCAATTCTTTTTTTTTGCAGAGTTAGCATAACTCTTTCAGAGTTCTGTATTTTCTATTCAGCAAATATACATCATGCATGCCACAAGCATTGTGGGACACTCCACAGTAAGAGAGCTTGTAGTACAGAGTCTATACGGAAGACGGATAAGCATCGATAACCGTATTCCAGGATAAAAGTAAAAATGTCTCAAGAGAGTTTCAGATAAAATGCTTTGGGAATTCAAAAGGGGATGTTATTGATCACTTAGGACTCAGAGGATGGTTGGCATTTAAGCTGTGCCTTAAAGGTGGGTATGGTTTGCGCCTACCTATCTGCAAGGCTTTCAAGAGGCAATGAAATTGGTGAGCTTTCCTCCTGTCTTTTTAATAGTAAGTATTCTAAAATAAATAAGTGATTTTGTTTTTCAAATTCTTTCTGTGGCTTCAGAGGTTTGAGGAGCAGCTGATCACGGCATGCTTTACTCTTCCCTGCACGGGAGGAACTCTGATACCAGTGACAGAAACTGCTGCCTTCCAGTGACTCCTCTGGGGGATTTGTGACCAACGGAGGTGCGTGCAAAGCCCTGGCCCAGAGTGGCAGGGCCCCCGACCCGTCAGTGGCGGGGTGAGGGAGCTTGGGGAGGGTCTGTCCTCAGTCTGGGGCCACACGTAAGGACAGTGGGCCAGCCACGGTCAGTCCAAAGTCAGCAGGCGTGATGCTCTGAGAAGGCGGGGCATCAGTTCAATTCTAGCAGCTCCCTGAGATACTGAGACTGGTCATAAGGGTCTTTTTTAAAAAATCTTTTTTCACTTCTAGTTGTGGTAAAATATACATAACATAAAATTCACCATTGTAACCGTTTTTCAGTAGCGTTAATCTCATTCACCTTGCTGTGCATCCAATCTCCAGAACTCTGTCCACCTTGCAAACCTGAAACTTTGCACCCATTAAACAAACACACTGCGTTTTCCCCCTCCTCCAGCCCCTGGCAACTGCCATTCTATTTTCTGTTTCTATAAATTTGACTATTCTAAGTACTCCATGTAAGTAGACTCAAGCAGTGTTTGTCCTTCACATGGCTGGCTTGTTTCACTTAGTTAATGTCCTCAAGTTTCACCCATGCTGTCAGTTCACTTGTTCAGTCGCTCAGTCGTGTCCAACTCTTTGCCACCCCATGAACTGCAGCACACCAGGCCTCCCTGTCCATCACCAACTCCGGGAGTCTGCTCAAGCCCATGTCCATCGAGTCAGTGATGCCATCCAGCCATCTCATCCTCTGTCGTCCCCTTCTCCTCCTGCCCTCATTCTTTCCCAGCATCAGGGTCTTTTCCAATGAGTCAGCTTTTTGCATCAGGTGGCCAAAGTACTGGAGTTTCAGTTTCAGCATCAGTCCTTCTGATGAACACTCAGGACTGACTTCCGTTAGGATGGACTGGTTGGATCTCCTTGCAGTCCAAGGGACTCTCAAGAATCTTCTCCAACACCACAGTTCGAAAGCATCAGTTCTTCAGCACTCAGCTTTCTTCACAGTCCAACTCTCACATCCATACATGACCACTGGGAAAACCATAACCTTGACCAGATGGACCTTTGTTGGCAAAGTAATGTCTCTGCTTTTTAATATGCTGTCTAGGTTAGTCATAGCTTTTCTTCCAAGGAGTAAGCGTCTTTTAATTTCATGGCTACAGTCACCATCTGCAGTGATTTTGGAGCCCAGAAAAATAAAGTCAGCCACTGTTTCCACTGTTTCCCCATCTATTTGCCATGAAGTGGTGGGACCAGATGCCATGATCTTAGTTTTCTGAATGTTGAGCTTTAAACCAACTTTTTCACTCTCCTCTTTCACTTTCATCAAGAGGCTTTTTTTCTCTTCACTTTCTGCTATAAGGGTGGTGTCATCTGTGTATCTAAGGTTATTGATTGATCCATGCTGTAGCATAGTACATTGTATATACATACCACATTTTGTATATTCATTCATTTGTTGATGGGCACTTGGATTTTTCCACTTTTAGCTATTATATAATAGCTAAGTAGAATAATGTAATTATAATTTATTATTATATTTATATTGTAATAATATTATTATAATATAATATTCAATTAGTATAATACTGCAGTGAGTATGGGCATACAGGTATCTCTTCCAGATCCTCCTTTCAATTCTTGGGGTATATATATCCAGAAGTGAAGTTATGAGATCACAGAGTGATTCTCTTGACATCTGAGGAATGGCCATCCTGCTTCACCCAGAACCACCCCGCCGGACACTGCCGCCAACAGTGCACAAGATTCCCGTTTCTCTGCATTGTGCAGACCCTCATTCGTTTATGGTTTTTTGAAGGTCACCCTCCTGATGGGTAGGAGGGTTACAGAGACTTACAGTATTGCCCTGAGTGGACGCGTGGGGGCACATATAATGAACCAGGAAAACTGAAGTCAGTTGGATAGGTGCATTATTTCCCGGACTGGCCGCAGGGAGGGGGCCACTAGGCAAGAGAACAGGGCCAGCTTCAGTCACGTGGGAGAGCGAGCCCCTCCAAGCCGGCAAAGCAGGTGAAACAGAGGCTCCCAGGGAGACTCGCCCACCTGGGTCGGGCCGCCCCGAGCCCGAGCCACGCACGCGCCGGGCTCTCGGAAGCCGCGGGAGCCGCTCCGCCCGATGAGGCCTGGGCTTGCAGCCTTGCGGCAGGGGACCCCCTCGTTCAGAGGAGCCGGGTGAGGCGCGGGAGGGGGAATGCCGCCCTGCTCTCTGAGGCCTGATATGCAAGCCCCAAACAGCACCCCGAGAGTTGCCAAAGGAACCCCAACCAGCGGCAGGCGATTCGGGAGACTGACAGCGTGTCTGGCTCTGTGCTAGGATGAAAACAATCTGTATTTCACAGAACTGGAATCTTCTTAGTGACGCCAGATAATATGATTAGCCCACCATATTATACCATGAACTCTCAGAGGGAGGAAGGTACAGAATATTTTTAGAGCACTGGAGTGAGCACTGTTGAAGGGACGAACTAGATTTAAACCGCATCTCTGGCCCGTGTAGAGAAATCCCCGGGATTCTGGGTGAGAGCTTCAGCCACAGAAACATGAGTCTTCTGATGCAGACAGGCCGCATCTCAGAAGGAAAGGGAGCGGCACCGCTGAGGTGACACCGAAGTTTCCCACGGAGATCAGCCGCCCTGGTGCACAGGCCACCAGCACTCGGCCGGCGTGAGCTCCGCCAGCCGCGGCCACGGCGGCCAGACGCCGGTCCCCGCCAGGGTGCTCTGAAACGCGGGCGTGCACGCGACTCGGCCCGGGTTCACCGTGATGTTTTGGGATACAGTCTGCTGTTTAAAACAGCTGTTGTTGATTTACTTGGGACACATGCTGATTTTACGTCAAACAGAATGTTGTGCACACTTCTCCAAGGAGTCCTAGCAGAAACGAGAGGCGTAAAGAAGATAAGGACAGCTTTTATAAACGTTTGCCTGCATTCCAAACCCCTGTATGATGTTTTTCAGACACCCTGGGAAATAACGTGCCTCTCTGTCTGAATTCAAGGTTTCCTCTCTCATCACACAGACTCCTGTGCCTACCTGAGCCAAAGAGGGAAAGGGGAAATGTCTGCTGACAGTGAAGCACTAGCTTCATGAGTGAAGCCACTGATAAATACCGAAATCATCATGAGAAAAACGACAATGCTTTATTTTCAAGGAGGGACCTCACCTCCTCAAGTCTTCTCTATGCTGGTCCTTCCTTTCGTCCCCCGACCTTAACCACTCGAGCCTTCCTTGAGTCCCCTGAAATTCTCATCAGCTTTCTTTCCAAAATGAAACTAAATCTGTTTGGTTTAACAAAGACTTCTGTCCATAGGTTTACTGAGGACAAATAACACATCACACTGTGAGCACTCTGAGGGTACAGAATGGATATTTCAGCTATCAGAAAGAGTGCCAAATGTGGGCACTTAATAAATTCCTAAAAAATCAATTCAGTTGAATGAAAAGTTGGTTAGCACTCAAGAAAGAATTATCTGAAGGACTCAGCGAGTGGGAGTCTGTCTCTCCTTTATCACTACGCCCTCTGTCCTGCACATAAGCATCTGCTCATAGGACTCAGCCCTGCACTCACACCCTCACCTTGCCCCGGGCCGTCAGTAGCCGCTCACCTCCCAGCCCCTGGCCTCTCTGCTGTGCCTGGAGGTGGCACCTGGGTCTGTGCCCACGGGATCCGTTCTTCTCTCTTCATTGTGCCAGAACCACCCCAGCCTGGCTTCCTATCTTGCCAGATCATTCTCCTCCATTCTCAAGTCCAATTGCTTCAAACCACGGTCTTCAAGCTGACACATCTGGGCTTCAGGAAGGCGAGCAAACAGGAAGGACCCAGTTTTTTGTTTGTTTGTTTGTTTTTTATAGCTTCACCAAAAAGCCAATTTCAAAGCAGATCCAACTGATAAGTTTCCCTTGTGATCTATGATACACTGACGTATCCAGGACTCCTTAGGGAGAAAAAAAAACATGCAGAAGGTATAAAGAGTCAGTCACCCAACATCACGGTGAGAATCACGAGTAGCACAATGCAGTTAGCCAACAGCAGACGTCTTCTGATCCCATAAAGAAGACCTGGTCTCTTTATGCATCAAGAGTTAAACACAGCAAAGCAATTTTGAAAGAAATTTAAAAGGTGTGGTGAATTAATCAGATGCAAGAAAACCACTGTGTGGCATGTCTTAATCTATTCAAGCTTCTATAACAAAAGATCCCAGGCTGGGTAGCCTACATAAACACTAGAAATGTATGGCTCATGGTTCTGGAGGCTGGGAGGACCAGGATGGGGAGCTGGCATGGTCACGTTCCGGTTGGCCGCCTTCCTGGTTCACAGCCGGCACCCCCAGGTTATGTCCTCGCACAGACGGAGGGAGCCCGTGGGCCTCCTTTACAAGAACACTGACCTCCCAGAGTGAACTGGTGCGACCACTGCGGAGAGCAGTGTCACGTACCTGCACACGCGGCCTCTCAGTCGTGTCCGACTCTTTGAGACCCAGGGACTGTAGCCCGCCAGGCTCCTCCGTCCACGGGACTCTCTGGGCAAGAATCCTGGAGTGGAATGCCATTGCCTTCTCCAAGAACAGTACAGATGTTCCTTTAAAAACCAAAAATAAAATTACCATGCAGTCCTGCAATACCACTCCTGGGCATACATCCAGAGAAAATTATGGTCTGAAAGGATACATGCGCCCTGCTGTTCATCGCAGCAGTGTTTACAACAGCCCAGACAGGGAAGCAACCTACACTTCCACCGGCAGAGGAATGGATAAAGAAGGTGTGGTGTATTATACACAACGGAATGTTACTCAAACATAAAAAGATGAAATAATACCATTTGCAACAACATGGATGGACCTAGAGATTATGATACTAAGTGAAGTAAGTCAGACAGAAAGACAAATATCATATGATATCACTTGTAGGTAGAATCTAAAAAATAATGCAAATGAATTTATTTACGAAACAGAGACAGGCTCACAGACTCCAGAAACAAACTTATGGCTACCAAAGGGAAAAGGTGGGGGGGATGAATAAATTAAGATTTTTTGATAAACATATACCCACTAGTATATATAAAATAGATAATCAACCTACTGTATAGTGCAGGGAACTCCACTCAACATTCTGTAATAACCCATATGGGAGAAGAATCTGAAAAAAAAAAAAAGAATCTGTATAACTGAATCACTTTGCTGTATATCTGAAACTAACACAAGATTGTAAATCAACCATGTTCTAAAATAAAATAATTTTTTAAAAGAACACTAATCTCATTTATGAAAACTCCACCTTCATGACCTAATCACTTCCCAAAGTCCCCAACTACTAATTACTATCACCTTTGGGATTTAGGATATCAGTAGTTGAATTTGGGGAAAAACACAGATATTCAGACCATAGAAGAATACCTATTACCAACTGAGCTTCTTTAGGCACTGAAGATCCACAGTAAACTTTAGGTCCTTGACTATTGGAAATTTACATTTATTTGGAAAATAAAAGCAATAAATAAAGGACGATCTTCAGATACTAATAAGTGTTCTGAAGAAAATATAATCAGATTGAGGGACTGTGGTGAAACAGTGGTGGGGCAGAGACTAGGTTGGATGGGAGGGGTCCTTATGCAAACTCTTTGAAAGATCTGGAAGAGACTCCTCAGACAGAGGAGAGAGTAACTGCAAGAACCCTGAGGAGCAGGAAAGTCCAGCAAGGTCACAGAACCTAAGAAAGGCCCCACGGCCAGAACAGAGCACACAGTAAGGACAGAAATAGAAAATTAGGTTAGAGAAATGCGCTGACGTCAAAGTATGTGGGACTTGTTGGACATGATAAAAGTTTTGATTTTATCACAGGCGTGGTGAGAACACAGGACTTTCCAGGTGGCCCAGTGGTAAAGAATTCGCCTATCCATGCAGGAGATGCAGGTTTGATCCCTGCGTCAGGGTTGGGAAGATCCCTGGAGGAGAAAATGGCAACCGTCTCCAGTGTTCTTACCTGGAGACTCCCATGGATGGAGGAGCCTGGTGGGCTACAGTCCACGGGGTCAGAAAGAGTCGGACACGACATGACTATGATAGGAACATAGTGGAGAATTTCAAATGAAAAGTGATAAAATCTGACTTAGGTTTTAAAAATACCATTGAAGCTGCTGGGTAGAGATTAGATTTGAGGCGGTTTTGGGCAGAAGCAAGATGATTCATAAGGATGCTTTTGTGTGAGTCCAAATGACAGATGATGGCGACGCAATAGAATAGTACTCTCGAAATTGAAGGGTAGTTAGATTTGAGGTATTATCTGAAGAACAGAGAGGACTTTTTGATGGATACAATCTAGGATATCAAGTCAACAAAAGATTAAAAGATGGCTCCTATAATTTGACCTCAACAACTGAGTAGATTTTTGGTACATGCTAAGTTTGCGAAATTTATTGGACCCTGGAGATTTCAACAAGGCTGTGATTTTGCAGTTCAGAGGAGGGGATGAGGCTGGAGACATAGGCTACCCATGACATCTAAAGACATGAAACTAGATGGAATCATCTTAGGATATAGAGAAGGCCAAGACCTCAGCCAGGAGCTCCAGTATGCCACAAATATGGTCAGAAAGAAGAGGTGGATCCAGCAGGGAAGGCTGAGAAGTGGTTGAGGATACAGAATGAATATCAGAAAACTGTAATTGTCCAGAAGTGAAGTGTGTTTCAAAAATAAGGAGTAAATTTTGTGTCAAATGATGCTGAGAGTTCACAGAACTGTAAGGTGGTCAGTAGAGTTGGCAACAGGGCAGGCACTAGGGGCCTGGCCGGCAGGGGTGAGAGCAAACCAGAGCGGGGTGAACTGGAGAGAGTCAGACCAGCAAGCAGAAGCCGAGGACAGCCAACTGTCCTTCCATCGAGGTGAGCAGTGAAAACAGGCTGCAGGTGAAGGAAGATGTGAGGCTTGGGGTCAAGGTTTTCTCGTCGTGGTTTGTCTTAAGATTGGGATCACAAAGAGTATTTTTATACTATCCAGTAGAGAAAAGAAAATGCAATATATATGGTACGAGCTGAATGTTTCTGTCTCCCCAACATCATAAGTTGAAGCCCTAATCCCTAGTGTGATGGTATTTGGAGGTGGGCCCTCTGAGATGTGATTAATTATAAAGGCAGAAAACTCATAAAGAGGATTAGGGCCCTTATAATAAGAGACACTACGAGTAAGCTCCGGGAGTTGGTGATGGACAGGGAGGCCTGGCGATCTGCAGTCCATGGGGTCGCAAAGAATCAGACACGACTGAGCAGCTGAAAGGAACTGAAGTGAGTAAGAGACGCAGAGAAATGATGTCTCTCCACCATGTGAGATACAGCAGGAAGGCGTCTATCTTCAAACTGGGAGAAGGGCTCTCTCCAAGAAATGAACCTGCCACACCTCGGTCAGCCGCACACTGTGAGAAGCAAATTCCTGTTGCGGAAGGCACCCAGTCTACCTCAAGCCGCCCCGTAACAACTTAGCGGGGTGGGACGGGAAGGGAGGCGGGAGGGCTTTCAAGTGGGCAGGGCCGCGGGGAAACCTACGCGGATCCACGTCGACGTTTGGTAGGAACCAACGCAACCCTGTACAACAATTATCCTTCAGTGAAAAACAAATGATCTCTTAAAAAGTCACCCAGCCTGTGGTATTTTTCTTGTAACAACCTGAACTAAGACAATGCAGGATGGAAAATGAAGAATTGCTGGAGTTTAATTAAAAGAGGATCAGCTCCAGTTTCTAAATGAATCGAGGAGTTAGCTTTGATAGGACAGATTTTTCTAATCTAAGTGCTTT